ATGTCATCGTGGCCATTCCGTTTGTTCTAGTCTGTATATGACATAAGTCACAATTTCTTTGGCTGGCTCATTTTTCAATTTATCAATATAATATTTGGGGTCTAGACAATCTAGTAACTACTGTTGTTTACAAACAATCACAAATGGCCTTGTTGTATTTACCAATAACATATACAAACGTACGTAGATCAGAAATCAGGCGAACTGATAATCGTATTACAAATTACCTCAGACGATTTGGCTTTACCGATTTAATCTCACTCCGCGGTTCCGCTAATTGAGGTCAGCTTGACCACCTGTACCGACGCTTTGTACGTACGTCCTTGCAAGTCTTTGAACGTAGTGACCAAGAAATACCCAGTTATGACAAACGTACAAAGTGTAACCCTACAAAAGTAAGTCTATTAGTTCTTTGACTGAAGAACACCCACAGTGACGTAGGTCGTAAACTACGTAGGTGAAACTCACTGTTATGGGTACAACAAACCAAAGTTCATTTGTTTGTTTGCTTTAAACACCACACTCGGGAGATCACAGATATTTGAAAGCAGTCTGTGAACAATCGAGGCTGGATCGGATACGCGTGTGATTGACATCATGAACATCGATCTACGTCATTGGGATACGATGACATGCATCAACCAAGTCACCGAGCCTGACCACTCGATCCTGTTAGTTGCCTCTTACGAAGCATGGGGTGCCGAAGACCAATTCTAACCCGGATCTTCACTCGTTTCCAAAACGGGGAGACACAGAGATTCGAACCAAAGATTAGCCATGCTGCCACGGCTACGAGACGCAGAGCAAAAGTACGGTGCCATAGCTGACTGACCCATGCGTGACTCCCAAGACTTCAGTTCAGAAGAGTTTTTAAATACCGCACTCAGTGATATGACGGCAGTCTGGAATTAATCGGGTCTGGACAAGACAAGCCAGTGATTGACATCATGAACATTGATCGATGAAATTGGGATACGAAGCCATGCATCAACCAAGCCTGACCACCTCATCCCGTTAGTCGCCGCTAACGACAAGCATCTGTTGCTGAATTCTTACCCGGATCTTCGTGGGGCGAGATGATCGTGCGTGAATCTAATGTCATCTTATGTTGGACATTCTGTATTCAAGTACTCGGTTCAAGGATACACCGATCCAAAATTTCACAAATTCATATTATCTGTTTTTCTCTTCCCGGATGGAATCCAAAAGAGCAGAAATTCAAGACGGTCTATGTGGGAAGGAAAACAACACTTTGAAGCCTTATTAAATATAAACAAGCTCGTTTAATTCATTTTTTCTTCTTTGTTTTCATGCGACCAACAATTATAAAACTATATGACTTTAACATTAGTTTTAGTTTATTTTGACAATCGATCCAATATTTTGTAGGTAAAACATCCGTTAACCAATTAATTGAGAAAGACGTATCTTAGTTACCTATTGGGCGACGTGTCAATCACAACACGTGATGCTATGGAAACGTTTAACACCCATATAAGCGGTTTCGGCACATTGCTTTATAAAAAAATACAAGCTCGGTCTACGTCTGTGTTTTTTTAATCGAAGTACTCTTAAAACCAGAAGTGCCTGTTTTATTGGTGAGAGGAACTGTCTAAGAAGTTGAGGAAAACCCAATAACACTTTCAAGTTTTTTTTCACAGCACTAACTCCAAAGGAGTGTTGGCGTCATGTGTGTGGATGTGTGGGTGTGTGTGTGTGAGTGTGTGTGTGTGTGTGTGGGGGGGGGGGGGGGGGGGGGGGTGTTCATCTTGGCTCCTAGGCTGCTGTTTAAACGCACGATGGTTAAGTCTCCATTCTCCTGTCTATATATGCTATATATGGTGAGTTACATGTGCAAATGGAAGCATTTGCAATCCACGTCTGTGGCTGCTAGTGCATTTTATATTTCCCGCTGATTTATTAAACTTTGAGCCAGAATCATGAAAACTTGCTGAAAGTGTTTATAAGAGAGTTCGCCTTTCTCTCGCCAGGGTAGATGATAGCAGTAACCAGCGGCCCTAAGACGATCGGCTTACATGAATGACTGTTCCTCCATGCTACCGTCACCAATCTGATATAGGGAAAACAGTGGTTGAAAGTATGAGCACACGATGGCACACGAACAGCCAGATCAAGCACTGCCCCCCTATTTCTATTTCAGTTAGTCCTTAAACTTTCATGGGTACTGGAATTTATTTTTTGTCCCGGAAATACCAGGCTACATTGACACAATGGACGAGTACACAATACAACAATCAGATCAAAGTTACTCGTCATTCAACATAACACCCACCAAAATATGATCACTTTCCGATTAACGTTTTAACATGTCAAATACCGACCCCGTTTTTATAGTATCTTTATTATAAATGACTTGTTCACTCTCCCAACACATGAATAATTCGCTGCTTAACGGATCCATGCCATTAACTAGTACAGCACGAAAATGTTTCCTAAAACTAGCGTGAACCAGCAGTGAATAAAGTCAAAACTCCATTGTGAAATGCGCTCCAAACCTCACGTGGAGGCGCGGGGGTCTTGGCGCGCTTCTCTATCTCATAAAGAGAAATCCTTATCTTCCTTGATTGACATAAAGATATAGGTCTGTGAAATAGCTTCTTTTTTATTCTCCTCAATCCGCAGGGGGTTATAATACACATAATAAATATGTTGTCAATGGTATGTCTATGAAAGTATGTTTCATTCAATTCGATATGAGACCCCAGCGTAGCTGTCAATCAAACTATCTCCACGTGACAGGGGGCAGTGAAATAGACATTGTTATCATGAAATGGAACACTTCAACGTAGCCGTTAGATTAACTGTGTCTTTTTGGTATTGTAAAATTTTGAGTTGTGTTTACGAGAAAGGTGAGAGGTACAGTTATTTGGAAAATGTTGTTCTATTGAAATAAATAGATTTGAAAGTTTATATTCCAAAACAATATTTCCAGGTCGATTAAATCAACTTTTTGCTACATTTAGTTATGATAACCAAATTGGCAGTTTGAATTTTTAGACGTGCTTCATAAATTCAGTACGTTTGAGCATGTCGCTAGACGTCGAAGCTTCGAGTCGCAGGATAAAAACAACAACATGTATTTATCGCAATCCTCACAACCATGACTGTCATCATTCGGTTTAGCATCGATACCACACAGGACACATGACACGTGCACACATATATATAGCTATATAAATAATGTGTATGACACGTGTGGATTGTGGGTAAGAATATAGGTCTCGAACAACGTATGCTTGTCATTAGAGGCGACTAAATGGATCGGGTGGTCAGGTTCGGTTACTTGGTTAAGTTGACAGCAAGTCATCGCATTTCATTCTATAGATGCTCATTATGTCAATCACAGGATTGTCTGGTCCTGACTCGATTATAGCTGGAGTCGTGGTGTGTGCGGCGTTAAACAACAAACAAAACAAAACAAAACAAAATCATGTAAGTTTAAAATACCTCTCAGTGTAAGAATATATGTATCTGACAGATGATTCCAAATTTACGATAAAAAATTGTTTCTCCTAATTTTCCCACCACGGTCGTTTACGCACATAGGCCATGGCCTTTTGGCTCGATAGTGAATATAGTGAAACGTGTGAGCACAGCGACACCGACGTGTTATCGTTGTTTACGTTAATTACTCGGTACTCACTATCTGGGCATTTTTTACAATTACTACGTCTTCGGCGACTGCTGACTACTACTGCTGCTACTACTACTATAAATAGCACTGCTACAACGACTACTACTACTTCTACTACCACTCCTACCACCATAAATACTACTGCTACTACGACGATTACTACTACTACCACTATAAATACCACCGCTACCACGACAACTACTACTTCTACTACTACCACTATAAATACCACTGCTACTACGACTACTACTTCTACTGCTACTGCTACTACTACCATAACTCGGGGTTGGGTTTCGGGTACAATGAGGCAAGGATGGCGGAGAATACCCCCCTTACCCCGGGCCTGCATTTGTCATTCTCTTCGTTATCATTGCTACATGAGACGGAAGTTTGGTGTGTTTATTACTCTAAATATAATTCCGCTTTAAATAAATTTAAACAGTATTTGATGTGAGTGAGTCAACCAGTTTGGCTGAGTGACGGGGTATATACCTATGACAAACTGCACGTTTCATATTTCAAAAGGATACAATATTTGTTAGATGATGGGAAACAAAGACTCGACATAGAATGATATTATTCGTGTACATCGTGCTTTTACATTGATTACACAGTGGAGAACTCGAGAATATGTTGATTCTACTTACCAGAATTAACCGATTCGAGTGATTTCTCTTACTTAAAGCATGTTATGTTTGGTACATACTTTTTCTCTAAAAATGGCAAAATGATCTATAGTTGCATCAGTTTTACGTGTTAGATTGCATGATCAGAATAGCCACTGAATTCCTGGTTCAGAATCAACTGCGAGAACATTAACGTGACGTGGTTTAATATGTATTGATATACCCGAGCATACAGTTACTACGGCTGCGGCGACTGCTACTACTACTACTGCCGCTGCTACTGCTACTGCTGCTGCTGCTGCTGCTGTCTGCTGCTACTGTTGCTGCTTCTACCACTACTACTACTGCTGTTTCTACTACTACTACTACTACTACTACTACTACTACTACGACTACTACTACTACTACTACTACAGGTTGCTGCTGCTGCTATTTCTACTACTCCTGCTCCTGTTACTATTGTTACTGCTACTACAACGGCATAACGTCACAAAGGTCCTTCCTCATGCTACGTATCACAGAATTAATACATAGCATACATATCAAAATTAAGAGTATTTTATGCAAGCCTTTCAGTCATACAGTTCGTCTGTTGGTCGAATGAAAGGAAATTTGCCTATGAAAAACTGCATGTGTCTTATCTAAAAAACACAATCTACTTTTCAGATAATGGGAAATCGCCGTGATTATAATGAGAATTAACAGAAAAAAACACTTACCGCCGCCGTTTCTGTAACATATATATGGAAACCGCCATACATTTCCAAGATCCACAGCAAAGCCGATGACCGAGAGTAAAAAATCCATCTTTTTACCCCACGTGTCCCTTTTTTCTCCATTTTCCAAGTCGGTGTCGTCTGCTCGTTTCTCGCCGTGCGGCAGCAGGGCGACGTTCGGCTGTGTCATCCTCGGAACTCCTCGTCCTTTTACGGCGGGTCTCGTTTCATTCACCAGACCTCGAGTGTTCAACAGCAGGCGGGAACTCTGATTGGCTAACGATACATCACTGACAGAGAAGCCTCGGTTCACGTGACTTGACTTGTGAATCTCCCTGTCCCTGTCTTGCAAGAGATCAGTATTGCTACGACATAGCTCGACAACACCTCCGTTCTCTTCACTATCCAACTTGCTAACACCCCCGGTGAAAGGGTCACCACTAGCTTCGGTGAAGCTCAGGTTGGCGTTAAGCGGCATGGCGTAATGTATTTGGCACGGGTCTGAAGAACGCGAGACTCGACGACCCTTCTCTCGCCCGATTTATGTAATCTGCAATAAACAAAAGGGTATGTTTCGTGTGTAAATAAGTCATACACGAAATAGTGTAACTGACCTGTGCATTTAACCAAGAGATGTTAATTGTATTGTGTTGGTCCGTGGTTCCCCGTTGACGCGAGCACTAATATCAATATGTTATCATAAATCTGTTGATTATGTCATTTACCTTTATTGGACGTGTTAATGTCATAGATGCTAAATAATTGGCATGTACATTTGCTGTTATGTATATAAAAGTATCTTTGTGTTGACAATGCTTTGAGAATTATCACTTGACGGGATTGTCTAAAGCTGTCAACATTTTCAGTACTGCATATGTGGCAAATCGCCAGCTTTCAAACTTTTTTGTCGACTTGCATTGGATTGTTTTGTTTATTCGTTTGTTTAACGCCACACTCAGCAACATTCCAGCTATATGGCGACGGTCTGTAAATAATCGGGTCTGGACCAGACAATCCAGTGATTGATATCATGAGCATCGATCCACGCAATTGGGATACGACTTGCATTGGTAACCGTTGTCATAGCCCTGGGATGACGGAACTAGTTTTATTCAGAGTCGCCGCCCTTGAAAGTTGTCTCCCTTGGTTCGTCTGCTCGCGTACAACCGGAACAAAACAAGATGAGTAACAACCTTTCACCTTGTGAGTGAGTGAGTGAGTTGGGTTTAACGCCGCTTTTAACAGTATTCCAGTTATATCGCGGTGTGTCAGGTTAATGTGGGAGGAAAGTCCGAAGTGATGCAGGTCTCAGACGTTTACCACTTCGGTGAAACCAACGAGCACGGGTATGGTGCTGACAAACCTAGAAACATAATCGGGGCGAACCGGGATTCGAACCCACAATCATAGGTTTCTGGCGTGCCCAAGGGACGCAACTCTGCACAGCGAATCGCGGCTTCTCAGACGACTGGGCCACCTGTGCCCCCCTTTCACCTTGTGATACTGGCTACTTGATGTCATACAACTTTCATATTACTAAAAACGAACACCATGTTGTCTGTTGTGTTCTTGTTTGACTACAGTACCACAAACTTCCGATGAAGTGGGACACTGACCTTTGTCATGAATGTCGCTTGTTGTATATACATGTATTCGTGCTCTTTCCCACTTTAATAACACCTTTAATATATATATTTTTTAAGGTTTTTAAATTCTTCCAAATATGGTGAATCGACAATAAATATTGAAAATTATGAAAACATAATTTACCGTGTATTTGTTTGTGAAGTTTTAATGAGGAACTATTGTGAAACTGAATGCGACTTGACAATGTTATGAAAAGGGGGTATCATAATGTTTTTAATAAATATACTATTTCATGCTTTTTGTCAAATGCGATATATATATCTCATCGAGTGAAGTTTGGAAATAAGGTTTTCAGACTTCACGAGATGAGATATACATCGTATTTGTCTGTGCGAAATATGAAATAGTCTCTGTTTATATGAGCACGCGTGTCATACTGATTTTACGGAACTCGTGCAAGATTTCCCGAATGATTCGTAAAATCAGTATGACACACACGTGAGTTTAATAATTTCCATAGTAACCATTATTTCTTAATCCTTTTGAGCTACCTTTAGAAGAATGCACCGCTTTCCTAGAAAACCACAATTTGTCGAATCGTCAACATCTTCAGCTATGACGTTGTTTCTAGAGTGACCTCATTCCGCGACCTTACGTCACAATAAGTTTCAAATGAAACAATGTAACAATGACGTCCGGATGACGGAAACAATACCCTGGTGCGGGAGAAGTAATGTTTGCACTTGTTCACAAACGATTTTTATTCACTTGGATATTTCTAACCCTATGTGTAATAAATGCAATGAGAAGTCTACACTGTTTGCTTTTTTGGAAAATAATATTTTGGGTAAGTCTAACGGTTAATGTGGGAGTTTGGTTCAACGCCGATATGGCGAAGTGATGGTGGTCGTAGACGCTTCTGATCAGGTGAAACCCACGTGCACGGTTACGGTGTAGCCAAAACTTAAACATTATCAGGGCGATTATGGGATTCGAACCCACGATCATAGATTCCTGGCTCACAGAGGGGACGCAACTCTACACAGCGAAATGACGACCAGTGCCCCAGTGCAGAAGAAGCTCTAACGTAGTGCTCAGCGTCGACATATAACTGTCATATTTCATCAATATATATCACAGCAATAAAACATAAATATAACATAAAACAGCAATATCAGAGTTAAATCAGAATGATACAACACTAGCAACCCAGGAATATCACGGCAAAATGATAGTTATTTCAAAACGATAGCAAAAGCACAGCAATAATTATGTCAGCAACTTAACAGTTATGCAACACCCGGCAGCATTAGGAACCAAGGAACAGGTCAACCAGTGGTGGATAAAAGGAGCACGGACCCACCCTATTCTGCAGCGACGAAACTATGGCTGTAAGGGTGCATTTTCTGGTGACAATGTCTATCCATAATCACCTACCATTGTACCCACCCGATAAACATTTGATTACTATGAAGTTCCGCGGGATTTTGTATGGACACGAGATATGGTTTTCAGCTTAAGTTGCAAAACCAAATATTTTATCAAAAAAGTTATTGCTATGGGCCTCAATCAAATATAATTGAAACATCTGGCAACAAGATATTTTTCGTGACCGACAATTTCCTTTTTTAAACAGTCGGAGGCATATGAATGGCGGTTTTTTTAAATCCCAGAATTAGCTAAAGGAGATATGTGTTGATGCCTTCAACATACGCTCGAGACGGTTACAAACTCATGATTCAAACTGTATTATCCAGATATTAGTTTTTCGACGTCACACATTTCTTTCTGGCTTTTTAGAACGTCATAGACATTTGGGTAATTGCACAAAGCCACAACCATATGTTTCCCCGCTTTTGTACATGGCCTCCTCGTTTTATCTGAAATGAGATTTGGAGTGAGTGATTATTGCTTAGCGCCGCATCAGCAATCTTGCAATTATTCGCGGCAAGCGATTCAGAGAGAGAGGGGTCGGTGGTTGAATCCCACATCTGACCTATTACGACCCTTGATCTGTCATCACCTTGCCGATGCGCGTGCTCACCCACACCAAGCTGACACGACGTTATACAACCGAATGAACATGGCGCTAAATCAAACCAACTCAATCACTGATCCGGGATTTTATGTCTAGCCGCAGTAAAAGAGTAGCTTTATTAGCTCAACTGGTCGAAGACGTGAAGAGTTATAACGATACCGCATCGTCTGTCATGCCCTCACGTTTTCGTTTCAAAAAGATAACTTAGACGAATATTTATGTTTTTATACCATCCCTCCAGGCGCTGTCCTTTTGTTTAAAGCCACACTCGGTAATATTCCAGCTGTATGTAAACGGATTGTAAATAATCGACACTGGATCAGACAAACTAGTGATTAATATTGTGAACAACATCCCACACCACGTGTGTGCGTCTTTGCTCAAAACATTGCTGTTGCTCTCTCTGGAGCTACTTGTGTACATTGATTGTCCATTGCCAAAAACTCGCTGTTGGTCTCTCTGGAGCTACTTGTGTACATTGATTGTCCATTGCAAAAAACTCGCTGTTGGTCTCTCTGGAGCAACTTGTGTACATTGATTGTCAATTGCCAAAACTCGCTGTTGGTCTCTCTGGAGCTACTTGTGTACATTGATTGTCCATTGCAAAAAACTCGCTGTTGGTCTCTCTGGAGCTACTTGTGTACATTGATTGTCAATTGCCAAAAACTCGCTGTTGGTCTCTCTGGAGCTACTTGTGTACATTGATTGTCAATTGCCAAAACTCGCTGTTGTTCTCTCTGGGGCAACTTGTGTACATTGATTGTCAATTGCCAAAACTTGATGTTGCGGACTTAGGTGCAACGCATGTATGTGTGATTTTCAATGCTAAAAGATTGCTGATGAGGGCTTAACAGGAACATGTATATGTGTCTTTCCCATTGCTGAAGAAATGCTGTTGCAAGCTTAGGAGCAACGCATGTGCTTGCCCATTGCTGTTGCTGATTAAGAACAACGCGTGCAGGATTATTACCCATTCCTGTCGGGGGCTTAGGTGCAACGTCTACGTGTATTACCCATTGCTGTTAGAGGCTGTGAAGTAACGTGTACGCGTATTATCCATTTCTTTTAGGGGCTTAGGAGGAACGGTGTACGAGTATTACCCAATGCTGTTAGAGGCTTAGGAGGAACGGTGTGCGTGTATTACCCATTGCTGTTAGGGGCTTAGGAGGAACGGTGTGCGTGTATTACCCATTGCTGTTAGGGGCTTAGGAGGAACGGTGTGCGTGTATTACCCATTGCTGTTAGGGGCTTAGGAGGAACGGTGTGCGTGTATTACCCATTGCTGTTAGAGGCTTAGGAGGAACGGTGTGCGTGTATTACCCATTGCTGTTAGGGGCTTAGGAGGAACGGTGTGCGTGTATTACCCATTGCTGTTAGAGGCTTAGGAGGAACGGTGTGCGTGTATTACCCATTGCTGTTAGGGGCTTAGGAGGAACGGTGTGCGTGTATTACCCATTGCTGTTAGGGGCTTAGGAGGAACGGTGTGCGTGTATTACCCATTGCTGTTAGGGGCTTAGGAGGAACGGTGTGCGTGTATTACCCAATGCTGTTAGAGGCTTAGGAGGAACGGTGTGCGTGTATTACCCATTGCTGTTAGAGGCTGTGAAGTAACGTGTACGCGTATTATCCATTTCTTTTAGGGGCTTAGGAGGAACGGTGTACGAGTATTACTCAATGCTGTTAGAGGCTTAGGAGGAACGGTGTGCGTGTATTACCCATTGCTGTTATAGGCTTAGGAGGAACGGTGTGCGTGTATTACCCATTGCTGTTAGGTGCTTAGGAGGAACGGTGTGCGTGTATTACCCATTGCTGTTAGAGGCTTAGGAGGAACGGTGTGCGTGTATTACCCATTGCTGTTAGGGGCTTAGGAGGAACGGTGTGCGTGTATTACCCATTGCTGTTAGGGGCTTAGGAGGAACGGTGTG